ACTTTTGCAAGAAGACTATTAACACCAAAAAATTTAACACTTTTGAATTTGCTGTGTATATCTGAAAGATTACATGGACAGAATGGAGCTTAATTAACCTTGTGTTGTGGATGGATCTCAGATGTTGTCTTGACTGAAGTCTGGTCCATTTTCAGCGTCTGTTTTACTATATGATTGCATTTGTCTCTGCCTATCAGGGATTCTCACATTAACTTTTACTGAAAAAAGTTTATTTTCTCATCCTTCTAACACTCATCCTCCATCTTTGCTCTTCTAATGTGTTTACCTTATCTTAACCATAGCTCGGTAGGTAGGCAACAATTAGCATACGATTAATGTCATGTTTTGTGTGCAAGCAGGATATTGGATTCAAATGCAGGACTCGCAGGACACAGAGGAATGAACTAAAGGAAGCAGCTTTTATTTCGCTGTAAATAACTTACTACAAATACAAAAAGAAAACTTGAAAGTAAAAAACTCAAACTAAAACACTACAAAATAAATGAGGAACTGACAACTAGGAATTAAGTGGGAATGCGGAGGGAAGAAACACAGTATAGTGAAGGTACAACATAACAGCTAACAGGAAGGAACACGGGACTTAAATACACAAGCAGGACAACGAGAGGATGGAAACAGGTGGTAAGATAGCTGGGATGAATCAGACCTAATGAGACAAGGGGAAGCAAAACCAGACACACTGAGCACTAGGGATGGGTATCGTTTAGGTTTTATCCAATACCAGTACCAAACCGGTACTTTTGAAATGGTGCCGGTGCTTAAACGGTGCTCGAACTGGTGCTTAAAGAATGGAGAACACACACTTTGTCCAAAAACCTCTTATGTTTAGCTGGTTTTTTTGTAAAAAGATAACAATGTTAGCCTTTTCTGCAGCTATAGGGCCTATATGGTATCACTCTTGGCTGGAAAAAGTGCCTAATCAATGGAAAAAAAACACCAATTTTGTCTAAAAACCTCTCATGTTTAGCTGTTTCCCACTTTTCTTTGGTCATTTTAGGCTTTTTGGCCAGGGTGAAGGGAGTATCTGCCATCAAACAAGAAGAAAGCTGCAAAGTTAACATAATTCATAGAGCGACAATAGATATAATTACAGGAAATACTCCCAGATTAAAATATATTCAGTTTTTTAAAAAGGCATGACAATATCTGCTTGTACTAACTCTTTAAAACGTTATTACACCAAGGAATAATAAAAGATCTTATTTTGCTGTATGATTATACTTTTGAACTTAAGGCCCATTATGTCAGTCAGTAACAAGCAGTTAGTTTTATATTTAAACTCCAGACTGTGCTGCTTGTCACAAGGTTAAAACATTTCTTTTGTTTTTAAAGTAGGAAAAGTCTTAAACGAACAAGTTCAAGTTCTAAGAATAGTAGACTTCTCTGGTAAACATTTAAAAGCGAACAAAATGAACAGACTGCAGAAAAACTACAAAGGATTCCGATTCAAACATATGCTGATATCCAAGTATGTAAAATTCATTTTTAAGCTTTATTTATACAAAAAGTGTCACAGTTGAAAAAGTCATATGGACAATTTCAGATATTAAAGGCAGTTTAACAATTAAGGCACAAAAACTTCAGATATAATCAGATAACACTATTGCGTTACCACTGGCAACCTGTGATTAGCCTGGAGTGTACCAGTCAGCAGCAACTTTGAAGGAAAGAGTATATTTCTTCCGTATTAGTTTCTCCTCATTTGCTCTTTTCTAAATCTGAATTTAAAAGCTGCTGAATAATCTGACACCGTCTTCTCTTAAAGACCAGACTCATCAGGAGGCGGGTATTCTAATTACAAAGTACCCGCCTCCTGAGTGTATTTCCAGGCCTCTCACTGGACCTTGATCAGTTAGACAGTTGAATCAGGAGAGATGAGCACTGTGCAGGACGTGAATCCCAGGGTGCGTGGGATCCGAGCCCCAGTGAACCTGCAGGGTCTAGCAGCATGCATCTCAGAGCAGATTGCAAAGGTGAGTCAGCTGTAAAGAAGTTGAGAGACAGTATAAATTATGAGTCATTGTTAGCAGTTTAATAGTAAATAGTAGTCATTCAATTTGGTCAACCACACATCTGCAGCTTATCCTCTTTTGTCAAAGGATTATATCCACCTGTGGTATATATATATATATAGTAACTTGATAGTTACAAATGAAATGTCTGAAAACCAAATAAATATTAAGGCCACAGATCAGACTATTTTTCCCTTGTGCTCTCTTATTCTTCTACTTATTCAAAAAAAACCCCTGAAAGGCCAGCATTTCCTTGACCTCCACGTCAAGGAAATGGATGAGGATGAGTGTACATTTTTAACCACAAGTATAAGCTATGGTTATGTCATATATGGTTAATATTGAATTCATTCTCTATCTCTGTATAGTTTAAATTAGCCAAGGGAAAACCAAATGTCAAAGGGTTAAAGAGATAAGTACATGATTGGCATAGATAGAATTTAGCTGTCAATTTAAAAAACGGTCAATATTGATAAACACTGATGTATTTTTCCAGAGTGTAAAAAAACCCTTCAAGAGTGTGATTGATGTCAGCTCAGGTGATCCACACAAGGCAGGAATGCCACCTATCTCATTTATTCGCCAGGTTGGTGTTTTATGTATCATCTGTGAATTTTACCTGCACTTCTCTGTTAACCTGAGCACATCACTTTCTGATTGCTTTCTTAGGTTATGGCAGTGTGTCTGTACCCTGAGCTCCTCAAAGAAAAAAGCCTTCCTCTGGATGTCAGGCAAAGGGCACAGAAGCTTCTGGACATGTGTTCTGGAGGGAGTGTGGGTGAGAAAAAACAATTATATCTGCAAGCAATGCACAAAGTGAGTATAAATGCTTCTGCTGGCCAGTCTAATCACTTTGCCTGTGACAGGTTCATACTCCACAACCTCCGGTGGTTTACCACAAGTCCAGAAAAGCATTTCTGAATTTATAACAAGGCGAGATGGTGGCGTGCCTTCTCATCCAGAAGACATTATCTTAACTACTGGATTACAGAAGAGTTTGTCGGTGTGACACTTTATACTGAACATTTTAATGAAGGTTTCTTTTTGTTTTCTTTTTTAAATAAAGCTATATCTTTCTGCTTTGTATAATTAGTTACTTAAGAAATGCTTAAAAATTGGCCAATTCTTGGAAAGGTGTTCCACCAGATGTAATCTGTGAGTGATGTGGTGTGTTTCTTAGCAAATCATTATTATTCTCTGGACTCTGACAGACACTTTAAATCCTGATTGTGAGACACAGGCCAACCATTCCTTTAACTTGTAACCACCAGAAATGTAACCACTTGGCAAAGCCAAGAAAAAGGAAAAGTAAAATGCAGTAAAAGTTAAACTGTTAGCAGTCGGACGTACCGCCCACGGGACATTGGATGGTTTAGGGGACTAATAGGACTGCTAAGGGGTTAACGTACTTCTGCAACTTCTTCACTTAAGAAGTTGCAGAAGTGAACAAGTGCAGACTCTGAAATGTACTCAGAGTAAGAAAGTAAAAGGTAGCTCCTTGAAGGACAATTCTACCATCTATTTTTATACAAAGGTAACTGAACCTGCTGGTATCTTAATATAAAAATAATAGCACACGAGAATACAAATGTACTTAGCTTGAATCTGTATCTAGGATACAAGCAGTGAATGAAAAACAAAAAACCCCCAGCTATTTAGACTGATTTCTATTTCCTACACTAACAGTGTCTTTATCATAGTATATAATTGGCATAAAGGAGGACTTGAGTGAATGAGTCTAAGCTGTAATCAACTCTCTTCAGCTTAAATTAAAATTAATCTCTGCTATGTTTGATGTAACCGAACACTGACCATGAGCACCACCGCCACTGTGTATCAGTCCCACACCATTCCTTACTGTGAATTCACCACTTTGCTGCAACCACATCTTTTGATCATGCACAAAACTACCCACTATTTTCATCTATTATTATTATTATTATTATTATTATTATTATAACAAAAACAACATATTTTTTGCACTATAGGTGTTTTTGAACCTGCTTACCAGCGGAGAGGGCAAAACTCAGACAGGTGTGCTGACCCCCATGCCCTGTCCACATACTCTGCCCATGCTGTTGGACATGACTGGGCTGGCACTGGTTCCATACCGTCTTTTTGAAGAACAAGGCTGGGCTGTAAACCTGGATGAGCTGCATAGAGCTTTAGAGGCTGGAAGAGTCCACTGTGAGCCCAAAGCCATATACATCAGCAACCCAGGAAAACCTACAGGTGAGCAGCCCATTGTTGGTACATCCTGCACAGCTTTTGATCTATTCTATATTCGTGTATACGTTAAGAGAATCCTCGTCCTCTTTTTAAAACTATATCATGCTAAGAGGTCAACTGTCTTAAAGCCTAAGAGTTAAATAAAAACTAAAATGTGAGTCTCTTTCTAGCAGTTTGCACTGCACATGTGGATTTGTGGTTTACAGCTACTTCATAGAAGCTCATTCAATAATGTGACTTTTCCCCTGGTAGGTTACGTGCAAGACAGAGAAACTATTGAGAAGGTGATTCACTTTGCTGCTACCAATGGCCTCATCATACTGGCTGAAGAGGTGACCACAAGCATAACGTTTACTCTCCCCTCAAAGAGAAAGAGTACATCATCAGTCTGGCTGTTTTTGCCTGCCTGTTTGTTAGCAGTCTAACCTCCACAGTTTTCAAAATATCATGTACAAAGTTTGTGTGATGGTAGCTACCAGTAACAGCTCGAGCTGACTTAATGTTTGTGAAAATCAAGTGAAAACCAAATATAAAAATATGTAAAAAAACAAACAAAACTTATATTACCCACAATTTTTTATAGATTGTCTTCAAACTTTCATTGTTAGCATCCAAGGTTGACTTCAAGAAACCATGTTAAGTAATATGTCATATTAAAAAGGGCATGGAGAGAGCTATACAACAGTTTTTATTACCACAATGATGCTATAATGTTTCAGAAAATCACACATAAGCAAATTCTTCTCCAACCATATGGGTAAAGACAATAAAATACACAATTTTAGTATGTAATCCTTCAAGATCATAGTTCCAAGGTCAGAAAGCAGTGGGCTGTTATAAAAGCAGCTCGAGGTCAGCACGTAGTAATTAAAATATAAAACCTCATTGTTTTAGTTTAGCCCTTGCCCTTTGGAGGAGTTGTGCAGGTTTTCACTTTTCACTTTTTCTTTTGATGTTCACTTCTACTGTCTAGGTGCACCAGGATAGTGTGTATGGCCAGGACAAAGAATTTATTTCCTACAAGAAAGTGCTGTCTGAGATGGGTAAAACGTATGCTGAGACAATGGAGCTGGTGTCTTTCCATTCAATTTCCACAGCCCACATAGGAGAGTGAGTGTCATTCCATGATCAATGTCTAACCTCAACATGTGTTAGTCACTGTCCCTATTATCCCAATGTCCTTATTAGTTAGCTCTATTTCACAGATATCTATGTACTTGTACAGTTTATGGACTTTCTAACCAAGCTTGCTACTGTTAGCTGATAAATGAACACTCATGTCTAAATATGATCACTTTTGCCTTCAAATATAATAACTCTAAAATTGACTTTTTCTTAAAGCTTCAGAGCATAAAAGTGGTTGGCATCTTGATAGGGTCCTTTTTTAATATACAAATCGACTGCTGACGGGAATATAAGAACACCCTACAAAGTTGATTCTGTCACTCATCCTAGTCAGTCACTGGTTTGAGTGACTGAAGGAGTCACTGGAATGAGTTCGAGAAGCGTTTTCTCTGCCTCTGAAAATACAATGTCCAGATCAATACAATTAACCTTTTGGAATTTCCTTTCCTGAATGATAGAGCATTCATCAGTGTTAATCAATGCTGTTTATTAAACTCTGCATTTGCTTTGTTTAGGGGTGGTCTGAGAGGAGGATATATGGAGGTAATCAACATTGACCCAGCAGTGAAAAAGTATTTAACTGTCATTTCCAGCGCTTCAGTGTTACCACAGCTGGCACTGGAACTTAGTGTTAATCCACCTAGACCTGAAGATTCTTCCTATAACTCATACACCCAGGTAAGGGGATTGTCCTATGGTAACGTCTCTATTTAATCAAAAAGGATCTCTGGTAAATGCATTGTATTAAAGTGTAATCATGGAGACAAAACAGTTATGCTGTAGGAAAAATGCAATAAGGAGCTTAACAAGGATAAACACATTCACAAAACTAAAGGAAACTGCAGAGAAATTAGATTTGCTGTTGGTTTATCATCATAAGCCACGGCATCCACATTACATGTTGTCACGGTACATTTAGCAGATGCTTTATAAGGTACACTGACTCAGCTATTAATGCAAATATCTAATCAGCCAATCACATAGCAGCAACTCAATGCATGTAGGCATGTAAACATCCCAATAACACTTGAACTGTTAAACTGGCAGGGGGATTGTTCCTTTCCCTGATATACTCTGTTAGGTGAATTCAAAGTCTTGTGAATATTTACAGCATTGGTGCAGCGTCAGCATGACCCAGTGAGCCATAGCATCCAAGAGGATATGAGATACAATATGTTGAATAAAACTGCAGTTGAGTAAATGAGTGTTTTTCAAGGAGCTCCCCAGCCTACAATAATTTTTATTTTATTCTTAAAGGAGATTCATCATATTGAGGATACTCTTTCCCAGAATGCTAAACGGGCGTGTGAGTTTCTGAATAGAGTAGAAGGGATGAGCTGTCAGCCATCAATGGCAGGACTCTTTCTTTATCCCCGAGTACACTTGCCACCTCACATCGTAGAGGAGGCTAAGGTGAGATTTCAAAGATAAAAATATGGATGTTATTCTGATTGTGTGCCTGGGTTTTTTTTTAAATTCAATTTCAGGGAACTTTACATTCCTACTTTTTTAAATTTCAGGGGTAAAATTTTATCCAGTATGTTTTTACAGCTTTGCTTTTAAGATTAAAATAATGTCAAAATAAAAACCCACTGCAGTTTATATTAACTTATAAACTGCCCCACATCACATTAGACTTCCCAGTTTGGGAACATAAATGCACTCTGAAGAAAAAAAGGTCTCTCTTCACTTGGATCTCACCCAAGTCACTTCTTCTGTCACTTGGGTGAATGAAAGAATCAATTTAGCGGGAGAAGCATTTTTTTGTCTCCCACAACTTGGATGAGCGAGATTTATAATGTTACCAAAAGTAAGGATTTCAGTCAGGAAAAGTTAGGATTTTTCAAGTTTTCCCTTTCATTTTTTGAGCAGTATATATGAGTAAAAAAAAAAAGAAAAGTTAACATTAAAAATCCAGCATTTAATTGCTTGCATTTTTATGTAACAGTGAAAATCATAAATTGATACAATGTTTTACTGTCTTTAATTTCAGAGGCTGGAAGTGAAGGCGGATGTGCTTTACTGTCAGAGGTTGCTGAGAGAAGAGGGTATTTGTGTGGGGGCAGGTTGTGAGAATGGACAGGAAGATAAAAACTATCACATCAGGTAAAATTTTATTTTATGTTTCTAGTCAGATCTTTAATTAGCCCTTAGTCCCCTAAATGTGTGATTTTGTGAAATTGTGAAAAAATGTAGAGAATGATTTGTAGACAAAATAAACAGTTTGCTGATGCTGTTGTGCTGACCATTATCTCATTAACATTTTTACTTGGGTCTTTTTTGATTGCTAATTGCTTAATTTTATTGGAATTGCATTCTCATTCCTACCGCATTATTTAAAGAGGTTTTTTGAAAAATCTTAAATAGCAAACTGTATATAAAAGATTAAGTTAACCCACGAACTGTCACTCTGAAGCCTCAATGTTAACATTCAAGTCCCTAGCTGTGTTGTTTTTTTTTTTTAAAGCCAGAAGTGGCCATATTACAGAGTTGTCAGCTATTGCTAGCCTGGTTGGTTAGCAGCACAGAAACAACACAAAGACATATAATAAAATAAACCAGTTTCACAGATCTTTCTGTGAAGCCACACTTACTGGCTAACACTTTAGTACAGATTAAAGCATTATATGAATGTGTGTGAATAGGGAAACGTCTTGTAATAAAGTGCTTCTAGTGCTCAGTTAGAGCAAGTGCAAGAAATGCTATTTAAGTACTAGTTAATCAGATACTAATAATTAGGTTCTAATAATTAGCACACAATCTGGATCCTTTATTTGTAATTTTATGAAATGTAGGGCTCTATTTAGTTTTGTTGTATTTATTTAAAATTGGTAAAATCGAGCAAATGCAGGCACTATTCCAAAGGTCAAATGCTTGGTGATCTAAACACATTAAAAATGTAAGTAGTTTTCATGTGACTGTTCTTTTTCAAGGTAGTATATGTTAATGTTGTGTTGGTGTGTTTCTTTTTCCCTTCTCTCTCAGGCTGTGTATTTTGACTCCTCCTTCCACTCTGGAGGAGATCTTGGCACGCCTTCGTTCTTTCCACCATCGCCTGCTGGAAAAACTTGCCTGATAAAAATGTCATGCTGTTGCTTCTTTTGCAGCACAATGTAACCAATAATGTAGTTACATAAAATCAACTGTGAATACTACTGTATAGATAGAGATCTCTTTAAACCTTAATCTGTCATTTTAACCAGATTATGCACTGATACTCTGCACCAGCAGTTTAGCCACTCTCCCTTTCACACCTTTCCCTAACAAGCAAAAGCCCCCTGACGCAGTCCCGGGAGGAACCACAGATCTCTTGGGGCTGTGTCAGTGGGGCGTTTGGGAAAAAAATAAATGTTAAAAAAAAAATCCAAAACAAATATGTGACAAATCCGTGTGATTAAGGGAACCCTTGAAAGCAGCCCCACCACTCTGCAGTAACTGATTTTGGTTGATTACACTGAAGTTAAACTGTTGGTAATTAAAACACTAAGTTTCTAATAGTCTGATCAACCCACATGAATTAATTTTAATGAACATCATGAAAAACAAGAAGATACTAATCAGTGAGCAAGGTCTTGACATTTTTAAATCACTTAATATTATGAAATAATATATTCATTATTGTAATGCACAGAGGGACTATTGAAAGCTAAATGTATTCCAACTAATACTGCGCATGTCAATAATTTAACTTTTCATATTCAATTTTCTGGTTTCAGAGTTCACTTTAAAAAAATATATATTTACTTGTCAATATGAAAATTACACTTTATTGGCTGTTCTTCAGCTTTAATGAAATGATTTGTTTACAGAAAATGAGAATTTTAGTGATCACTGTAAAAGTAAAAATTCCCAAAATGTTTTGAGAATATTGTGTTTATAAATAGCTGCTAGTCTGGTGTGGAGATGCCGTGGAAGCAGGACAGATCTGGACATAAGCGAAAGCATGAGTGATAAGTAAGTGTTGGCAGTAAACTGGTTGTTGCTGTCTTCCAGGATGGGCTAAAGTTTAGTTTAGTTTAACCTTAACTAAACTAAACTACAGTCATTTAGTTTAGTTTAACTACACTGTAGTTTAGTTTAAAACGCATAATAGCATAAAGCAATAGCAATCGAAACATGACTTGAAGTAAAAAACGGTACCACACCATGAATTTTGCTCTATACCAGAAAATCCTGAAGGACTGTGTGTCCAACAATTCGTGCTCTGAAGCTCAAGTACACACAGCTTAGGAAGCAGGTCAATGATCCAAAACACAACAGCAAACTTCCCACTGAATAGCTAAAACAACAAAACAAAGGTCTTGGAGTGGTCTAGTCACAATCTGGACTTGAATCTGATTGAGAGGATTTGGCATGACCTTAAACAGGACATTCATGCTCAAAAACACTCCATTGTGGTTAAATTAAAACAATTCTTCAATGAGTGGGCCAAAATTCCTCCACAGCCATGTGAAAGACTCATAACTGGTTATCACACTTAATTGCAGTTCTTTATGCCAAGGATGGCACTGGCAATTACTTTTTCACACATGGCCAGTTAGGTTTGGATAGCTTTTTTTCCTTAATAAATTAAATCATCATCAACCATCAACATAAAAAACTACAATTTGTACTTACTCGTGTCATTTTTGTGACAAAAATCACAAAAAATGAAGAAAAGAAGGGGACAAGTACTTTTTCACAACACTATACATTGTTGTATTTCCATGAATGGCTAAGTCACTACACGATCTTTGTGTCCCACCTTAAACTAAACTTCATTAATTCATATTTTTTTAAACTCAAATCACCACTGTTACAAAAAACAGAATTAAAAAAGACACATGTCCCAGTGTAAACTTGGTAAGTAGATGAATTTATATTGGATTACCCTCTGCTCACTGGGAGCCTCAAACTCCCAAACTTTACTTTGTGTCATTTAGATCGAGGAAGTTTGTATTTTCATCGAGGTAGGACAGAACTCCTCTGTGTCTGAGATAGCAATGAGGAGGAGTCTGAAAGGAAGAATGATGGAGAGCACCAATCTAAACCATGCAAAGCAGAGGCTAATTGGGTCAAAGAAGGCAAGCGAGAAGATGATTGGACCAGAGTAATGACGTCAGTATTTGGATTGACAGTGTAAGAAAGCAGTAGTCATGTAAGGTGCTAGGACCCATCAAACATTTGTGCCCAGTGGTGTGTAACTCAATCATATACACAGCAAATGCAGAAGTTCATTTAAGCTGAAACATTTTAGTGAAGTGAAAATGATCTGGGAACATTTTTTCTTTATTCACAATTACATTTTGTACTTGTAGTATAACAGGCAAAGGTTTTGATTTCTTGCATACTATCAAATGTACACCTTTGTGTCACAGGTTACAGCTACTTCAGGCATTCTTCAAACATATTCACTTCACTGTAATGTTTGATTGTGGTGGAGATTTTATTTTGAAATAGTAACATCTTAAACTTTATCATTACTTTCCAGTCACTAACCCAAGTGTTTATTTGTTAAATTATACTTTTTAATATTTTTATTTTCTCCATGTGTGTTTTCATAAAAATCTTTTTGGGAAAATTGCTCCAAACAATGTGATGATTTCTGTTTTGTTCAAGATAACTATAAAAACCAAATATATTTTCTAAATTCAATCCAAAGAACATCATTAGAAGAAAAACTGAAAACATGACTCCTGGTCACCACCAGGAGTCATTGTCAGCTTTTCCTTTAAATGTGCAGATACTTGGAGGAGGGTGGTTGGTCTGTGTTTTCAGCTCTGTTTTATCTGTCTGTGTATTGTCAGTGTCCTCTCTTCATATCAGTTATAAATGTATTTTCCTCCACATGTGAAAAGTGTCAGTTGAACTCATGTATCCACTTTAAGGCGGAAACAGAAAGGGAAATATCAGAAATCTTAAAATTTATTTCCAAGTTGCAAATGGACTAAACTTGGGTAAGACACAAAGACAATGATAACACGCACTGTATCACAGCCTGGAACACACTGCTACGATTCCTAAGCTATCCGTTTTCATTCTACATGGTCTTTGGCTCCATTATCATAACAGCTGGAGGACACATCGTGCAAGCAAGCTTCTGAACAGCCTGTGCATTTCTGTTGCTTGTTTGTTAGAAGGCGTATGTTAAAACTGGAATCACATTTTGTGATCATTCTTAATTTGTGAAATTACCAATATTGAACCTCTCTCACTACATAACACTGAACCACCGTTTTGGAGCTGTGACCAAAGATACTATAATTCTTCAATGTGTTTTCATCCTGTTTTGTCAGATTGTTCATATAGTACATCCATCTTGCTCCAGCTCCCTAGATGCAGTAATGCAATGATCTCATTGATCTACAAAGTCAGTGATTCTATATCTATCTATCTATCTATCTATCTATCTATATACATATATATATATATATATATATATACATCTATCTTTTAATCACATTTTCAGTTCATTCACAATTGTCTATATATATATATATTAGGGGTGCAACAATACACAAAATTCACGGTTCGGTTCGTATACTTTGGTGTCACGGTTCGATATTTTTTCGATACAAAAAAAAATAGTTCATGCCTTTTTAATTTGTCATTTATTAAATTTTCACGGCACATTCCGCACCACATCTCTGTGCGTTCATCATTTGTTTGAAGCCAGCTCACCTCCTGCAACCACTTTTCCGAGAATACGTGCTTCTTTTGTGGTTCGGACTCCTTCTGACATTTCTTTGGAGGTGGAGGAACATCACAGTAATTGCTTAAAGGAGCTTCTTCGACATCTTTAAGAGTTCTAAACAAATGTCTGTCCTCCTCCTGAAAATCTTATGTACGCAAACACGCGTTGCAACTTCTTATCTTGTGCCGTTTTTTATTTTGACAGCGAATGCGCACCTGCGGACCACTTATGTGCAGCCCTGGTTATTTAGCTCGTCATATTGCAGCCACAGAAATTCTTTTGTCCATGAAACCATAAAGCTGCACTTTCTTTTTGCCTTATAGTCTGATTTGTCATAACTTTTCCGTTTTGTGGTAAGCTTTTCTTTGGCTGTCACTTCTTCACCCTGACCTGTCTTATTTGGCTCAGCAGAACTAAAATATATATCTGCTGCTTTTACACACGCACTCACATAAGCTCAGCGATTCTCTGCGCGATCAACCTCTCACATGTTTAAGCTTGCTGCGGGAGATTTCACTTGTCATGTTTGCATAGTAAGCTAACGATTATAAGACGATGTCAGAGGAATTGGTGCACAAATTATCATCACTCACAGATCAGTGCTGTCGCTCTCTATACACAGTTCGCGCGATTGCAAAGTGAAAGCAAAAAAACAAGCGCAAATTCAAACGCGATTTCAATATGTCACATATTGACAGTGGCTCACCGATGCCAATGACATAATTACCCAGCTACATTTCGAAAGAATGCAAAAGCATTGACATATATTTTTCCTTCCTACAAGCGACGCAGGGCAGAGATAGATTTTGGTAGCCCGACTGGAAAAATCGCTAGCCCCGGGACGTCGGGCTAGCGATATTGCGAGCCCTGTATCTGATTGAGGAATCACTCATCTTTGGAAAAGAGAGTTTATTACAGAGAAATGGCTCTTTCCAAAATAAAAGCTATACTATACGCTTCTTCTGGGCTATATTCTCAGCAGCATATTAAACATATCAGGTCCCCATAAGGAGAATCATGTGCTAACGGCTGTCTAAATGACTCGGGTAAAGTTTGTAGCATGCGTGCTTGTTGTTTTTGTCTGCTTCCACTTGTCTTTGCACTAGGATGATGTCGGCGTAAATGTGCAGTCATATTCGTTGTGTTCCCACTAGTGCTGTCAGCTAAATCTCGTTGAAATGACGTTAACGCCACAACACGGCAAATCTCCGTTAACGAGCTACCGCGGATCACCCCGTGCATGGGGCTGGACGGCCAACACGTTAACGAGCTAACTGTGCTAACACACTAGCTCCCACCCATGTAATTGAGCATTGGTGGCACATCCAACATACTGTTTTACTTTAGTCCATGACTCGCTTACCTTCAGGGTCATACGTCACATGAAAACCAAAATAGTTCCAAACGCCAGATCTGAATGAGGGTGGGGGAGGTTCAATTTGCCATGTTGCAAGGAGAGCTTAACTTCTGTCTGCTAGCTTGCCCTGCGCTCAGTGAATCTGCATTCGACTACTCCGCCTAGGCTGCACTGTCGAGCGCAGATCCACTGAGCGCTCAACACAGACAAGCATCGTCAGAAGGAAAGTTGATAAAATAAATTAAAATTTTGATTGTTCGATACATATGCGTACCGAACCGAAAGCACTGTATCGAACGGTTCAATATCGATACAAGTATCGTTGCACCCCTAATATATATATATAAAACCAAAACACCATAACAAAACACAACACCCAGCACGCCCCTGCGGGCGGTTTATCCTTCAAGCTCGGGTCCTCTACCAGAGGCCTGGGAGCTTGAGGGTCCTGCGCAGTATCTTAGCTGTTCCGGGATCTGCTGGAGCCACTCGCCTAGCTTGGGAGTCACCGCACCTAGTGCTCCGATTACCACGGGGACCACGTTACCTTCACCCTCCACATCCTCTCGAGCTCTTCTCTGAGCCCTTGGTATTTCTCCAGCTTCTCGTGTTCCTTCTTCCTGATATTGCTGTCATTCGGAACCGCTACATCGATCACTACGGCCGTCTTCTTCTGTTTGTCTACCACCACTATGTCCGGTTGGTTAGCCACCACCATTTTGTCCGTCTGTATCTGGAAGTCCCACAGGATCTTAGCTCGGTCATTCTCCACCACCCTTGGGGGCATCTCCCATTTTGACCTCGGGACTTCCAGGTTATACTCGGCACAGATGTTCCTGTACACTATGCCGGCCACTTGGTTATGGCGTTCCATGTATGCCTTGCCTGCTAGCATCTTGCACCCTGCTGTTATGTGCTGGATTGTCTCTGGGGCATCTTTACACAGCCTGCACCTGGGGTCTTGCCTGGTGTGATAGACCCCAGCCTCTATGGATCTTGTCTCAGAGCTTGTTCTTGTGCTGCCATGATTAGTGCCTCTGTGCTGTCTTTCAGTCCAGCTTTGTCCAGCCACTGGTAGGATTTCTGGATATCAGCCACCTCCTCTATCTGCCGGTGGTACATACCGTGCAGGGGCCTGTCCTTCCATGATGGTTCCTCGTCTCCCTCCTCTTTCTTGGGTTTCTGCTGCCTGAGGTATTCACTGAGCACTCGGTCAGTTGGGGCCATCTTCCCAATGTATTCTTGGATGTTCGTTGTCTCATCCTGGACTGTGGTGCTGACACTCACCAGTCCCCGGCCCCCTTCCTTCCGCTTAGCGTACAGCCTCAGGGTGCTGGACTTGGGGTGAAACCCTCCATGCATGGTAAGGAGCTTTCTTGTCTTTATGTCAGTGGCTTCTATCTCCTCCTTTGGCCAGCCTATTACCCCAGCAGGGTACCTGATCACGGGCAGGGCGTACGTGTTGATGGCCCGGATCTTGTTCTTACCATTCAGCTGACTCCTCAGGACTTGCCTGACCCTCTGCAGGTACTTGGTGGTTGCAGCTTTTCTAGCGGCCTCTTCATGGTTCCCATTCGCCTGCGGGATCCCCAGGTACTTGTAACTGTCCTCTATGTCTGCAATGTTGCCTTCTGGTAGTTCAATCCCCTCAGTTCTGACTACCTTCCCTCTCTTTGTTACCATCCGACTACACTTCTCCAGTCCGAACGACATTCCAATGTCATTGCTGTATAGCCTGGTAGTGTGGATCAGTGAATCGATGTCTCGTTCACTCTTGGCATACAGCTTGATGTCATCCATGTACAGGAGGTGGCTGACAACTGCTCCGTTCCGTAGTCGGTATCCGTAGCCAGTCTTGTTAATGATCTCACTGAGGGGGTTCAGGCCTATGCAGAACATGGTGACTTGTGCTATATACATATATATTGATGAGTTTGCGGCATTTAAGCAGCCTTTTGCTACCCAATCCGTCCGGGCTAAAGCTATTGGGGTGTATAGCTGCAGACGGAAGGCCGTATTCCGTTGTGTAAAACAAGAGGTTTAAACTGTGATGAACGTGCTTGAGCCACGCTATGATATCTCGTTGCGTGTCCACTTCAGTGTGACAAGATCGTTCCAAGCATGTATGAGCAGGAAAAGTTTAAAGTTATGGCTGAACTGGTGCAGGCGTCTTCTGTTGCTCTAACTACAAATGGGTGGACCTCCAGGGCAACGGAAAGCCACGTGACCGTGACCGTTCATTATATCACAGCGAGTGATAGATACAAAGCCCTGTACTGCCCTATAGATTACATTAGATTAGATTAAACTTTATTTATCCCTCGGGTGGGTTCCTCCGGGAAATTCAGTTTCCAGTAGCACAGCACCGACAGAAGTTGCAGAATGTGAGCAGAAATATACCATATATACACATATATAAATACAGAGAATACAAAAGGAATAAATAGAATAAATAGGAATAAGAATACAAGGGAACACATTTCAAGTTTTGTGAGTCTATTACACCGTTGGATATTAACAAAAACTATTGCACAGTGAAAAGGCACTACAGCTTACTTGTTCTCCCCTCCTTTGTCCCAGTTTTCCTTCCCTCTCCCCTCCAGCGAGGAGTTAAACAGTTTGATAGCGTGTGGGACAAAGGACTTTTTAAGTCTGCTGGTCCTTGACTTTGGGAGAAGCAACCTGTCACTGAACAGACTCCTCTGGTTGTTTATGGCCGTGTGCAGAGGATGCCCAGCATGGTCCATAATGTCCATATTGCACCTTAATTTGTTTTGCTTCAGTTGAATGTTTTTTAATAGGCAAAAAATACTTAAATACGTAAATGACGAGTCGAATTTTGGTCTTTTTTTTCTATTTTTGCTGATCCGAAAATTGATCCGATCCATGACTTAAAACCGTGATCCGATCCGAACCGTGAGATTCTATATATATCTATATCTATATATCTATATCTATATATCTATATCTATCT